CTTCCCCTGTTGCAAGTTCTGCCTTTGGCAGCCATTCACAATCACAAACACATCTGAAAACATTTCAATGAGATTACCTCTAGCAAGGAACACTTGAACACAGTGCCTGCAGCTTCCCATTTGCAGGGACCTACTCAGCCTCTATTATTGAATAGTGTTTGGTTTGCTTACCATTACTAAAGAACAGCAGGTAGAACTGAGTTGCTAGTGTACACATAGGTGAATTAAGTCATCCACTCAGGGAGAAAGTCTAGCCTGCCTCAGTCTCTACTGAGAAGAGGACAATAGGGCAGCAGGTTAAACCAAGTGAAAAAATAAAGCTAACAGCCTAGCGTCTCATAACACATACATAGCTTCCAAACCCCATTATAATCACAGTATTTTCTTTAGTATGTTATGCATCAGAAATTATTATGATTTAGCAGGTATGATTCCTACCTTGTGGAAACTTGCTACAATTGTACTCAGTTGTACGTAGTGCACAGAAATACCCCATTAAGGCTTTTCTTATTGGCTAGATATTTGTCACATCACAAGAACAAATCTTACATGCTTTCAAAGAGCAAATTTTAGTCTGCTTATCACCTCAATTCTGTCCACGTAAATGAGATATTATCTACACAGACACTGTAAAACAATTGAACTAGAGGCTAAAATTCACACATCACCTATCAAACTTTTCAAGTAAAGGCTTCATTCTACAGCAGGTAGCTTCACACATTCTGACTTAAAATAGGGCTTTTATGCATAATACAAAGAAATAAATAATTCTATGTAGAAAGGCTCACCTGGAAGTCAGGGAGAAAAAGATAAACAGCAAGAAAAGAATCACCAGCCTAAAGATGGCTCTCACATCTTCATTTACAGAACATTACTGCCTTGGTCCATAATCCAGGTCCCTTTAATACACCTCCATCCATGAGAAGTTGTTATCCTTTCTCTTAGAGCTAGAGCTGCAAATATAGGAAGAGCAAATCTTCATAAAGTGCTTCACCCATAAGTGGCAGCTTCCCATAACTGCATTCTTCTGTGGGAACAGGATTATTTTCCTGAAGCAGAAGGCATTTGCCCTCTAGCACTCACCATTCCAGAGCACTTAGTGATCTCAAGTTAAAAACACATGTGAAGTATTAGAGTACTTTTTTTTTTTTTTTAAAAAAAAAACAACACCTCTGCCCTCATTTCGATGAAACTGATACATGCTTATCAACTCCCAGGATCTTCAAGGATAATTCAAAGTACCTGATTACAAACTTTCAATTTTAAAGATCCAACAGCACCTAAGTATAGCACAATAGAAAGCACAGCAATAACAGCAGAGCAGCAAGGCATCAGGTCACAACATGCAAAGATCTACCTAATTACAGCAGTGACAGAAACAAAAAAAAACCTACTCACCCTCAGAAAACCTCAGCTACACAAGGAACTCTAGAAAGAAGTCCTCACCTCCACTGCCAACCCTTAAATGAAGTCTGAGAAGGGGTGTATCCTGGCTCCAAACTTTCTGGTCATTCAGCTGCATTGCATGCACCTGAGCTACTCTGGGTTGGCCCTGCCTTCCCACCAGGTGCTCAATCACTGCTTCAAGCTGTGACTTCGCATTTCTGCTACTTTCACGCAGAAAGTAAAAACACACACAAATAAAAGTATATGCCAAAGAAACCTCCTATAAAATTCCATTACAAAAATTAACCATTTATTTAGGACCTATGGGGCCAAATTACTGAGTTAGTCCCACAGCATCCTTTCCTCTGCAACAAACCTCCTAAAGGTTGTGCTTTACAAAGATGTCTTCATTTAACCTGTGACATTTGCACGCAAACGAGACCAACATGAGAGAGTAGATGGAAGAATGCAGACAAGAGAAGAATATTTTGTGAGAATCCAGGCAAAATCCAGCTAAGGTAATTACCAAGGGGAAGAGTTCTCTTATTGCAAGGTTGAAACGCAAATGGAAAGACATGCGATGGAAACAGGCCGTCCCATCTCGCTACACGTGTTATTTGAGGAAGGAAAGAACCTGAGCTCAAATCTATGCTTTGCTGCTCACAGTGTTTGCTAGCTGGCAAATAGATATTAACTGAGTGAAATGTTTAGGGATTTGACATTTGTTGGCGAGGAGAAAGTTCATCATCTGCATTCCTTGCAGCTGCTGATACTCAGCCAACACACCCCTACTCTGATGTCAGTGGTCAGAATGAGAACCATATCCTAACTGACAGATTAATAACAGGAAATCTCTGTTGAATTGTCAGCTGAAGCTCCAGCTCCCAGAACTGCATGTTGCTCCTAAAGCAAACAGAAGATTTCCTAGCTTCTAGTTCAGACAGGGAGGATTCTGCAACCATTAAACCCTGCTCAAAATTCCAAACTTACTTTCAATGCAGGGTTTTTTACACATATTTACCACCGGTATAAGCCCTCAGCTAAAAGAACAGAATTGCCCAGTCCTGGCATTGCGTTGTGTCCATAATAACTATTCACTGTCACAAAATGCCACCTTGGCACTGAAGGAAGACATCCAAAATAGAAGAGCATACTGTAACAGTATTTCATCTTCCCCTCCTCTGGCTGGAAAAGCTGGTCTGTTCAGCTTTCAGTCTCTAGTGGATATAATCATTTATATATAAAAACCTATTCATGATCCATCCGTCTGTATTATCAAGTGCATTTTTTAGTCCAGTAGCCAGGTGTCCATTATGTGGACTACTAAGTGATTTACAATGATGGAGTCTGCACTGTGTGTGGCTATCGCAGCTTTTATATGCTGGCTGTACAGAGAATGAATGCTTGCCTATTATGTTCCAAATAGCAACAAACCCCATTACCTAAGCCACTAACTCCGAGTAAGAAAGCCAGAAAAACTGTTGCCTCACTACCTTAAAGAAAATTTGCCGTTTTGATCTCAAACTACTGTACATTGAAATAAATGACAGGTTTATATCAGTGAAAAACTGGCCCTTGAGTTGAAATCATTTCTTTTAATACTTGCTGATTTCTTGGGCTCCAGAGCTTGTATTCCAGAGCAAGGTCTCACCCCAGATACAGAAAAGCAGACAAGAATCCAAGTACTTTGTGAATGTGAGTGACATATGAGATGGAGTCATAAGGATGAAAAGTCTGGACAAAAATTGATAAATTTCAGATTTGAAACCAAAGGACATTTCTGAAACGTCTTGCAGTAAAAAACTGAGTCCTGTCATACACAGCCAGAATTAATTTGTTGTAAGGAACGGCTGAGAATGACTGCAGAAGAATTGCATGATAAAAAGATTTTGGTTGAAAGCAGTGCATGGAGGTGACCTAGTCCAAACACCTTTTCCACACAGTGCTAACTTCACTTCATAGTTTGAGATCCTGGGCCTTGTCTCTCTGAGCTCCAAACTGCAAGGTCTGCTCTGAATGTAATGCCTATTTTACAGCAGTGGGCCTTCACATGTACAGAGAACAGAGACATTAGCACCACAGGAAACAGCTGCAGTTCTACAGATTGAGGGCAGATAGAAATTCAGCCCAGAGCCTCACTTAATAAGCTCGTATTGAACTTCAGGGCTCTCATGCACTTGTAGTTGTCTGACATCACCACACAACCCTGCATCCACAACACTGTTGAGACTGCTTAAGGGAAGACCTTAAAGCTAGGATTGAAAAAGCAGGAAAATCAGAGGAGGATGAAGAATAAGCTTTTCTTCAGTTCACCGAGCATATACCATACAGAATACTTCTTCCTCTCCTGAGTGGCAAATAAAGTCCCATAGCTGTCCATCTGCTACCAGTATCACTCCATAAATCGTGTTCCTTACTATCAAGTCTATGCATTTCTTGAACACTTCCAGGGACAGTGACTCAACTCCTACCTGGGCATTCTCTGGCACAACTCGAGGCCATTCCCTCTAGTTCTATCACTAGTTACCCAGGAGAGTAGGAGAGACTTGGACCTGTTGGAGGACATCCAAAGGAGGGCCACAAAAAAGTGTTCCTAGGGATGGAACACCTCCTCTATAAGGATGGGCTGAAAGCTGGGGCTGTTAAACTTGGAGAAGGCTTTGGGTAGACCTGATAGCGGCCTTTCAGTATCGAAAGGGAGGTGATAAAAAAACAGGGGACAGACTCTTTTGGTCTATTGTGATAGGAAAAGGGGAAATGGTTTCAGACCATGAAGGAGTTCAATGACACACCATTGCTTCTTACACACTTCCATATCAGGTGCTGTTTTGAAAGACTACACCTCTGCTGCCATCTGTCACAGGGCAACAAAATGTAATGGAATACTGGTGGGAAGGTTCAGACTCTTCTGTCATGCCACCAACATCCATCCCTGATGTCATGGGCAAACTTCTGGAGCAGCCCTTGCATATTACCATTATCAAGTTATATCACAGCACCTTTGAAAAAATGCTAGCTGAGCTCAGTGTTGCACATCTACAGTGTATACATACATAGCTATTAGTGCATATATTTATGCATGTAGTAATTAAGCTTTAGCTACTTTTCTCTTTGTGAGAACATGCTACTAAGGCCTGTCTTTTCATCGTGAATGTTAGATGTAGCAGCCACTGCAATCTTCCATAATTGCACAAGCCTCCCACAGACAATGAATAGCAGAAGTACCACAGCCATTTTATACACAGGGAGCTGAAAACGCCAAATGCAGTGAAGAATCAAACTTTTTTTTTTACACTTTCCATTTCACCAGCATTTCATGATCTCTCGTGATCCATAAACTGACTTTCTATAAAATAATGCTTTCCTATCAGTGATCTCAGTGCAGGTTTCCTTTTGTTTTGCTTTGAAAGTGAGTTGTCATTTCATATTGCAGCAGAAATGCGAAGTCAGGGCTTGAAACAGTGATTGAGCACTTGGTGGGAAGGCAGGGCCAACCCAGGCTATCTCAGGTGCATTTAATGGCACTGAGTGTCATGAAGGGGTGGAGTCAGGATCCACCCCCCCTTCCCAGACCTCATTTAAGGGTTGGCAGTAGTGGTGAGGATCTCTTGGTGGGGATTCTTGTCTGCTGGAGGCATTGTGGAGGTAAGTAGTTTTTATTGCTTTGTTTCTGTGTCTATGGTAGTTGCTGATTTTGGGTTTCTTCTCATTTACTGTCATATGGGATTGTGCTACTCTACTCTTACTGCTGTGTTCTTTGTTGCATTGTAGTATTACGTATATGCATGTGAATGTTTTCCTGTATATATGTGTGAATAGGGAAGTCCTAGGAAGAATTAAATAATATTTATCCTATTCTTTCAACTGATTTGCTTTGAATTTGCTTGTTAGTCTATTGCAATTTTTGAAATTGTCATGTTATTATAATGACTTCTTACAGTTGTTTCGTACTGCTTGGCAGTATTGTGGAATTGAATGTTTCTGGCTTTGGAATCCTAAGAGGGGCTTGAGTTTTCTAACTTGCTGAAGGAATACTTGTTTCTTTAGGGAAGAATCAGTGTAAGGAGGAGCGAGATCCAGTATTGTAAACTTGCTGAGAAAATTGAAGCTATGAGTTTCAAGCATTATCTACTCCTGGAGCGACAGGGGACTCAGTGCATCTGTGTGTAAGCATCTCTTCTATAGAACAGCCCATTGTTCAACAGTCAAGTTGCACGAGAATTTATTTAGGATGTTCCCCCCAAAGAGCAGGAGATTAGTGACAGCACTGTCATCTGATTAACTGATTTAAAGGAGCATTGGTTTGATGTACAGTTGAGGTGTTTGGTACGAGTCTTCAGCAGTTACTTTTGATGCCCCTGGTGAGCATGCTCTTTTCTTCAGTAGAGCAGAACACTTTCTCCTTTAAGCCATGTGTGCTCAGCAGGCAGATGTTTTGTGTATGACCCAGAAGCCTGTAAGACTATCTTATGTAGTTTCCTATGGATTGTTTCTGTTGCATTCTGAGATGGGTACTGCTGTCTGCTGTGCTGAAGTCTGGAGCCATGTGCCCAACATATTTTATAATCTAGTATCCATGTGTTGTAGCTGGGAGGAGAATCTTGGAGCACTGGGTGATTGATACACTGATGTTTTTCATAACAAGAAGAAATGAATGTCTTCTTAAACTTTGCAGATCAAAAGAGTACAGAACCCATCTTTGTGGAAAGTCTACCAAATAAAGTGTCAAATGGATGACAAACCCAGCATTTTGCTGTTAATGCCAGCTATTCTGCTAATGATACCTACCCAAAACCGGATGGCAATGGGAAGAAGCACATGTACCTGGCTCGAGTCCTTGTTGGACAGTATTCCCAGGGGACACAAGGAGCAATTACTCCAGCAGTAAAGAGTGTTGGCAACAGTGTGGATCTGTTTGACAGTTCAACTGATAATGTGAACAATCCATCCATGTTTATTGTATTTAATGATATTCAAGCTTACCCGGAGTACCTCATCACTTTCACTAGATGAGCATTTTGATTGCAGCCATGATTGCATGTCACTTAGCTTTTATGTTATAAATCAGTCCTACAGATCAACCAAGTATGCAGTGAGAACTATTTATAGTTTTATCAAATTAATTTCTAAAGGCCTGTTTATGTTCAAGCAGCCTCTGGTTCTTTTTGATGTCCTGAGCATAGACTAATGTTTTTCCTCTCAGAGTAATAGCTGAATGCATTTAAGACAAGTTTAATCTGGCATGTGGTCTAACAGCAGTTTCCAGTAGACGTCCCACGCCTCCCCTATTGTGATCCTCCATGCTGTGTTCTGGCCATCCTAGCTGCAGCAGTGCTGGTGGGGGAGAGTGAGAGACAGAGTGCTTGGTCTCACGTTTCTGAAAGAGTGAGGAGCTGTCATCAATTATGATGCCGACTGTCATTCACAGTTCTCAATAAATGAACTATCTGTACTTAATGGGCTGTGTTTGTCTGATGTGGTCTCTGGACATTTAGCATTTGTTTTGAATGGGTCAGTTATTGAGTGCTTGGAGACTGACATCTCACATCTCTAATGTGGAATTACTTGCATTTAATACAATAGGCAGGTCAGTAAGAGGTTCTGTCACTGTGATCTAACTTGCTACTCGCAGTTAATGCCTGAGGTACCTAGGTATAGCCTAAGAGAGCCAGGAAAGTGGAAGTTGGGAAGATGCTTCTGTTAAGTACCAGCTATAGTGTTGTTCCTCTGACCTTAAGCAGAAAAGAACAGGGTAAGGGGGGGTGAGGGGGGGAAGGGGGGTGTCTTAAGGCTTTTTAAAGGCCATTTAATTCCTCCTATATTGTTATGTTGGCTCACAATATAGGAACTGGATGTTGGTGGTACGGCAGTAGAGGCTGAACCTTCCATCATCATTCTGTTACATTTTGTTGCTGGGTGAGGCTGCTCCCCATAGGACTTGTGCTCCAGTCCCCTCACAGCTCACTCTCTGAACACACTCCGGTGCCTTAATGACTTCCCCATGGTGAGGGGCCGAGAACTGAGCACAGTACTTGAGGAGCAGGTGAGGGAATTAGGGTTGTTCAGCTCGGGGGAGATGTGGAAATGTGGCACTGAGGGGCATGATCAGTGGTTGGCTCATGGTTGGGTTCAGTGATCTTAGTGGTTTTTCCAACCTTAATGATTCTATGATACGTATCTCTGATTAAAAAGTATAATGCAAATAAGTTCTCAAAAACTTGGGAAGGAGGCTAACCAGGGAGGTGTGTGCAAACGTGATGTGTAGCGAAGGTGAAAGCGCGATGTGCAGCGGGGCAATGGCTGAGTCCGGGTGTGTGCCGCAGGTCTATGTCGGGAAATGCCCCGTGCCGCTCCCCCCCGGCCGGGAAGAGAAAGCGAAAGGCAGCGGAGCTGCTGACAGAGCGCAGCCATGGCGGGGCCGCGGCCGGGCTCCTTCCCGCTGCTGGTGCGCGGGGATTGGGGCGCCGCGGAGCCGCCGGCCGCGCTGCGCAAGAAGCTGCTGCTCTACTTCCAGAGCCCGAAGCGCTCGGGCGGCGGCGAGTGCGAGCTGCGGGGGGGACCCGGGCAGCTGCTCGTCTGCTTCGCCCAACCCGACGGTGAGCCGGGACGGGGAGAAGGCGTGGGGGCAGGGAAACGCTGGCTTGATGAGATGTAGCGTATTATGCTGTAAGGGTACCTTCTAGGGAGGTGCTCAAGGTCAGGTTGGATGGGATCACAGGGTTGGAACTGGGTGGGCTTTAAGATTCCTTCTAACCAGTGATTTACCATCTGATACACACTGTGCAACTCTGATATAATATGCAATATACAGTATGAGCATTTACATATATAGAAGCCTGAATTCAGTGCTTAGTCCTATCCTCTGCATGGTTTTTTTTGAGTAAGCCTTTATCATCTATAAATTAATAAATCCAGGGAATAACACTTTCCAATGGTGTCAGTGCCAGCAAAGGTTATGGAGCAAATCATTGCATTGCACAGCACAGGACAGTAAGGGGTCAGACTCAGTGTGGGTTTGTGGAGAGCAGATCCTACCTGACTACTGTAAAATCATAGACTCGTTTGAGTTGAAGAGACTTTTAAAGACCCTCTGGTCCAACTCCCCTGCAAGGGACAGGGACACCTACATCCCAATCAGATGCTCAGAGCCCAGTTCAGCCTGACCTCAGGTGTCTCCAGGGATGGGGCGTCCACCATCTCTCTGGGCAACCTGTGCCAGTGCCTCATCTCCCTTATTGTAAAACAACTTCTGATCCAATTTTTGTCAACAGTAAGATGACATCTTCAGTGGATGAGGGAAAGGCTGTGGATGTGGTTTACTTGGATTTTAGCAAAGAGTTTGATGCTATTTTCCTACAGCCTTCTGGAGAATTCAGAGAAATTCAGTCAGCATGTGGCTGGGATGCATGTGCTGCTCACTATGCGAGAAAACAGGCCTGAAGGGTTGTTGTGAACAGAGGTCAATTGGCTGGCAGCGAGCCTAAGGGGCTCAGCACTAAGGGCAGTTTTGTTTGATATATTGATATTAATATGGTGGCAGTTAATGCTTATTGTGACAGCAGATATATGTTAGAAATACAAAACAAAAACATGCAGCAGGGAGGAAGCACTCAATTCCAGTTATGTTAAACACATGTAGGTACATATTCCTGTCTGTACATAAACTTACGTGTATGTAATTTTTCTGTTTTACCATGCTTCCTTGCTGCTGTCTCTCCCCAGCTGGTAAGTTGAGGTAAGATGACAGCCTCATGCTGCTGGAAGAGGGTGTGCCAGGCACGGGGCTGATCCTGGGGCTCCTGTATTGCCTTGGGGCTGCAGCCCTCACACAGGCTTGGAAGTGTGATGGAGCAGTGCAGGCAGGGTGAAGCTTTATGTTTTTGTGTTCTGTCACTGGGATATTCTCCGTGCTTGTTTCCTTCCTGTTCAGTAGGAAAGTCCCCTACGTGCTCTGCTAGTGTCTTGAGTTTAAAGATCTTCTACTTAGCGGGGAAATGCATGAGTCCTAAGCAAAATGGTAGGATGTGCCATGTGGTTTAATGTATACAGTTGTTTTTCTGTTCAGCTCGTCACTGTTTTCTTTGGTTTTCCTCAGTGAAGCAACAGGTCCTTGAGAGACAGACTCACGAGCTGGATTTGGGAGAAAAAGGGAAATTTAAGTTCATTGTCACAGAGCTTGAAGCAGCAGCTGAACAGGAAGCACTTGAGGAAAAAATAGTTCCCACAAAGGTGAATACAAATTATAATCCTAACTAGGACTTTGAAACAATTATGAGAATGACAAATCAGTCAGTGATAATTTGTTTCAATTTTACTTTAGGCTCTGGATGCCATGAGAGGCCTTCAAAGAGAAGGTAAGCTGTTGTCCATCTCTCTGTGACGATTCTTCCTGAAATAAAAGCAGATCTCCCACTCGGTGGGGAGTTGGGTTGAAAGTTTCTCTCTGAATTTGACAGCCTGGCCCAGGTGATGTGGGAAAACAGAAGCAGCCAGGCACACACAGCCATTCCCCTACAGTGGGATGGGGTTGAGAATCAGAAAGGTAGAAGTGAGAGAACTGATGGATTGATATACTGTTTAATGAGAAAGGAGGGAATACTAATAACAAAAAAGAGCAAGTGGTGCATGACACAGTTGCTCACCACCAGCTGACCGATGCCCAGACAGTCCCTGAGCAATGGAATCCCATCTGTTCAATTGCCCCTACTTTGTTACTGAGCATGACATTGTATGGTATGGAATATCCTTTTGGTGCTTTGGGTGAGCTACCCTGGCTGTGCACTCCCTGAGGCTCCCTGTGCACCCCCAGCTCTCATTCTCAGGCAGCATGAGAATCTGCAGAGTCTTTGACTCAGAGCTCTGCTCTGCAGCAGCTGACATATCTGTTATCAACATTCTTCCCAGCCTAAAGCCAAAACACAGCTCTGTACTAGCTACTAGGGATAAAATTAACTCTATCCCACACTGAACCAAGACGAGTGCTGTGCTTAAAACTACTTCCTGAGTTTGATACTCGGGCTCAGGTGATGTAGGGAAGCATGCATAGCCAGGTATGTGCACCAAGGATGGGGTTCACCCTGCCATGCTTAAACCACGTGTCTCTTTTAAGCTTCTATACTAGCCAATTTCATTAGAGAAATGCATCCAGAGAGGGATTTAGTTCCTTTATCCTGCATAACTGCTCTAAAATGAGACATACACGCAAACAAATGGGAGGTCTTAATCCCAGGCCAGGTGTCTTTGCGCTCTCTGCAGTTAATAGACTTTGTTAAGTGGCACATCTCACCACTATCATGGTGAACTTGATTACTTGTCCAGATTCCCTTTCAGCAAAATTCTAGCAAGTTTTGTGGCTCCGCAGCCAGTCTGGAGAGCAGCACTGCACATCAAAATATACCTGCCTTGGTGAAAAGTCAATACTAGGCCACCAAGAAGGACCAGTTCCTCAGGAAATTTGTCAGTGCTAGCACTGGGGCATTTTCCTTTCTGTACTAAATCTGGTTTAATGCTGCTGTGCATGTTTCTCCTCTTTTGTCCATTTTCTGCACTGGGTGTGGTGACACAGATGATTCCTGTCTATGATGTGGAGATGCAGTGGTGGGCACAGAGCTGTTGCTTCTGCAGCTGTGTCTTGTTTTCTTCTTGTCAGGGTTATGCTGTTAGGCCTTCAAAGCCTCCCTTCTGTAAATATTATGGCTTCGGTATATCAGTTGTTGCTGTATATCAGGCTTGCTCCTGAAACCCTCTAGCCAGCAGTGTGCAGCCCTTTGGCTTGACTGCCTGCTCCAGCCCTGCTCCTGCATTTCCCTCTCTTCCCTTGGGCCTGCTCAGACTGCTGGCTCCATGGGCCCCCGTCGGAATCGTGGGGTGAAGGTGTCTGTTCCCACAGAAGGTGTGAGGCCAGAGGATGCTGTAGGGACAGGACCAGCACCTGGTGAGATAACAGAGTGGCTGTGGGGGGTGAGAGTACTGAGGGTCTGCGCAGACCTGCATGGTGGCACAGGGTTCTGGTGGGGTGGAGGTCTCCAGTGAGGTCAGAAAGCATCATACAGTATCAAAGGTGCTGCTGCATGGCTTGGGTGTTATTGGTTGCTTAAGTAAAAGCAACTTGTGTTCATTGGGACAGTGAGAGGAAAGCTGCCACTGTTTGCAAGGATGGCTGCTGCGAGCACTGTGTGGCTCTGTGGTTGACTTGCAGGTGCTGGGGGTTTGTCTTCTGCCTGGTCAGTCAGCAGCTGGCTGCACAGATATCTCTTGGTGTCAGAGATGGTGCTTCTGCCCCTGATGGATGCTCCTAACAGGGAAAATTGCCATGTTGGGGACAGAGTACTGTTGGGCAGCTGCTGGATGGCAGTGTCTCCTGTTGGGTCCTGCAGAACCCTCTGGTTTTGACAGACCATGTGTCTGGAAGCTGAAGGAGCCTTCCTGCTCTCTGTTGGCTTGAGGGACAGCTCTCT